GGGGGCGGGAGCTCATATTCATATATTCGTGTTCTGCATCATTTACTTCTTTTGAAATGGCGGATTGTTTTTACGGTCTGCGAACATGAATATATGAATATGAGCCCCCCCCCAAAAAAATGAAAATATCGATCTTCCTACGCCCATGGCCATGCAGGCTGAAATATCAAAATTTAATACGTATCCGAGCAGGCTACCCGCAGGCTATAAGTAGTTTATGTTTGGTGTTGTATTCTATTCTACTTAGGGGCTGACCATTTAACTTTTGAGGAGGGAGTGATTTTGAAAAAACATTTCCTGCAAGGCTATCCTGAACAAAAAAAATGCCTGCACTAACAAACTGGGGGGGGGGGGATATCCTGCCCCAGTATTTGGTGGGAAAAAATGTTGCAAAGGGGGGGGGGGTATGCCCCCAGACCCCTCTAGAGGCTCGCACCTTCGGTGGTCGACTCGGTTGTCTCAGAATCCTAGTTAATATTGGCCTGATCTGCTGCTCTGTGATGTATACTTATTAGTTAGTTAAACCATGCATATATATGCTGGTAGCTGCAGTGATACAGACCTGCCGACTGGAACTTCTCCAGGTCCCCCCGCTAATCATGTCCCCTCCAGTTACACATCTGTAAAGAGGCCCTGAACCAAATCTTATACCTCATCCGAGAGGGGGGCAGGGGGGAATTGCCCCGGGCCCCCACCTTAATAGGGCCCCAACTTGAGAGTGAGAGCCTAAAATTGAGTAGATTCTTTAAATTGGTCGGAGAATTTTTTTAAATTGAGGGCTCCTTACAGTACCTCCACATACAGTCTAGCTAAGCTCTAGTTGGGTCTAGCTTAAAAATAATGATGTCATGGGGCCCCCAGGGAAGATTTGCCCGGCCCCCGCGAATTATCTCGGCGGCCCTGTACCTCATATCATAGCAATATGTATTATTAATTAAAAACATGCATGAAGCTAGAAAAGTCAACGTTAACTATTATTAATTAAAGAATCTAAATAGTATAAGCTATTGAAAAAAATGCTGTAAAAGAGTGTGGCAAAAAAATATCGTACATGGTGATGGGATGGGGAAAAAAAATCTTGCACATAACGATCCCAGAAAAAAATTCCATTCCAGCAGTAAATCACCCCCCCCCCTCAAAAGTTAAATGGTCGGCCCCTTACTGGGGTTTCTTTCGCTTTAAGAGATTTCACTCCAGTTAGAAAGTGAGGTCATCGGGGAAGGTAAAGTATTTTCAATTTCCGAAAATCAAAAGTAATTCAGGTGCAAAACATTATATTCTTGACTTGAAACTAATCTCCTGGTACACACCAGACAATGTTCATCGATAAAATCACAAAATAGACATGACATGGTATATCTATTCTGTGATAAAATATTCTTTTGTGCCATGCCACCTGACATGGCGGCTGACGTGCAAGTCAAGAATAGAGAAAATGTAAAAATCAGTCCAGTCCAACTGTCCAGTCCAGTCCAACTGTCCAGTCCAGTCCAGTCCATGTTTTGTACTATGCCAAAACAAAATGTTTTAGGAGCGAAATAAAAAGTTTTGAATGACAAACTCATGCTGAAGAAACGTTTTAAAACCTAGTTATAAATGCACGCTTCACGGAAGCTCGAAAATGGTAGTATTAGCTTTAATTAAAACTCTGCTTCGACTATATATTAACCGACAAGCTAGCTTAAAGTAATTCCGCAGTTCTGCATTCCGCACTTTTAGCACAGTTGAAATTAATGAAATGTAAATAATGCCAATACTGAGAAGTAAAACGGTCTAAAAAGCGGCCAAGTCTATGAAGGCCATTTTGAGTCAGCGAAATTCTAACTGGAAATTTTTTCAACTTCTAACACATAAGTTCAACGTCAACTAAAAAAAAGACTACAATGGCGGGCATGCAACGTTTCACGTTGGTAAGACACTGAATCTTGAAAATCAATTATAAAAAATAAGAAATCTGACAAAAAAGTGTTCAATTATGGGAATAGTTTTTATTGTTCATATACAATTGTCTGTGTGTCGGTGAGTGCCTATTGTCCATTGAACTATTGTTATTTTGTATATAAACAAACGAAAATGAAGCTTTATACAATGAAGACAAATGACAATGTTGCTGTTAAACTAAGAAAAATAAACATGCATGCATTAATGAAAAAACCTGCGTTTTAATGTAGCTATATAATGGCACTTCATGTCATATACCGTATATAACAAAAGAACCGATACAAATTATGATTGAAAATTAAAAACATACATGTCAATCAAAAGTAGTTTACGAGGATGTGACTGCACCTATAAGTAGAACTCCATAATTATATGCCTCTGTCATTTGCTAATACTGCGATACGTCATAACACAACAATAGTCTCGGCACAGCGTTTTTTTTTTTACTTTATCGTGTCCTTCGTTAAGTCTTGGCTGTTGGTTTTAAAAGAAATAACATGGCAGAAAGACAACCTGAAAACGTGAGTTTATACTGATTTGTACCTTTACATTTATCCGTAATTAAAGTACATAGAAAGTACGTAGAAGTATTGTTTTAATTTTTCAGTCGTGCATGAATGGTAGATTTTATAATACATTTTATCACCGACATATTTTCGCCTTTTTTGTATATATGCTGTATATACAATATAGCATACTTTATACAGCAATTCATATAAATGAAGCAATTTCATTGTCAAAACCGAAGCGTTTCCGCGCGCACAAAAGCAGACAGAAAACGCTCAGAATAGACACCTATTTTAAGGAAAAAGTTGAAAAATGTTCACTCCGCGCCCGCCGGGGAGAAATGACTGCAATGGAAAACGGCCTTTATACTCACAATATTCATATTTCTTTACCTTAGATGAACTTCGAAAACAGTTTTAAAAACAAGGTAGTAGTAACGACAGTTGAAGAAATAAAAAAATCTGTTGTTCCAAATTCCCCTCGCAGATCGACAAGCACCTTGACATGTGCAGTGTTAAACAAGAGCCCAATTAAACCCACGAGGAATGGCAGCATGTTTTCGTTGAATTTATGCGATAGTGACCAGTCGACAACTATTCGGGCAGTTTGCTTCAATGAAGATATTTTTTCAAAGATTCAGTCGAAAAAACCTACGATCTTCAGTCGTTCAAGATTAAACAATCGTTCGGGAACAGAGAAACCCCTGAATTGGTGCTTGACAACGAGACAAAAATCTCACTCGCGTCCTCGCAAGTTGCAATTGAACAATGCTTTTTCACTATTTCGCAAATATTGAGAGGGGAAAACCTCCAACAGTAGATTTTTGAACGTCAAAGCGAAGGTAACTGCAATCGACGAACCTCGTGTTGTCGGCACTTATCCACAAAATAAAACAAAGAGATCTGTTCAGATTGCTGACACAACCGGTGAAATAGAACTCATTCTTTGGCGTGAATGGGCGGACGTTATTGCATTTGAAGATGGAAATGTTTTAAACCTGGAAAATATTGTTGTATCTAAATTCAACGGGAAACTGAATCTTACCACAGCATTCGAGTCCTCAATAACGATACTGGACGAAGAGATGACAGTAGCAAGACCAACAAAGCGCCCACTTTCCAAATCGAATATCATCTCCATGGAGGCATCCGTTCGTGCTATTAAAGAATTTATTTCTACATTTTCGTGCATGAGTTGTAGGAAACAAATAGACCTAGCTGATGTTCAAGGTATCGGAGGCTTCATATCATGTCCCACATGTTCGTGCACTTTTCTGAAAAGTGCACTACCACCTGCCCAGAAGTGTTTAATTCTATTGAGTGACAACAACGAATGGTTCACTGCACATACAAAAGTAAGATTTCATTTCTAATCTATGGTACACACGTAAAAAACGCACAAGTTGGGACATACCTGCAGCAGACTTGTGCCAATGCTGCGGTTTTATTAACTTGTTATCAGGACGCGTTTGCATTGCATTGCTTGTTGACAACTTGTCAACGGCTTGCTCACAACTTGCTACAAGCCTGTTGCGATTACATCCTGTTGACAAGATGTCACTAGATTTTTGCTTGTCTAGACAAGCCTGAATGCATGAATTGAGCTTACTGTGACTTCCCACAAAGCACACAGTACTCTTCCTTAATTGTATATAATTACACATTTTCGTCCCTTTTTCTAGGTTATCCAACACCTGTTCCAATGGACTGAAGGAAAGGCAAAACCTTTAGAAAATGACCTGTTTTTCCTGCTCAATACCAAGTATTCCCTACGAGTCGACACGCAAAGAAAAATTATTGAGCATGCATGCCCTACTCTCGAGCAGACCTCGTCTGACAAGGAAATAGAGGAAGCCATTGCTGCGATGGAAGAAGACGAAAACAGCACCAAAAAACCAAAGTTAGACTAGTTTTTTCCAAATATATACTGTATGTTCTCAACAACATGTCATATTATTGATATTAACTTTGGTATAGTTTTCTTGATCCTTGACATTCGTTAACAATAAGACAATCATATAGAATTTTCTGTCTGGGTAAATAGCTCTAAAGAAGTGTTTTATATTAATCGTTTGTAATTATTTATGAAGTTTACTAGATATAAAATATTCATGAATTTCATGCTGTCTTAAATTGGATTGGCGTTTGTTCAGTTTTTTACCTGCTTCCCTCTATAATTCTACGTAATCGCATTGGTAAGGTATTATTTAACAATTAGTCGCCGAAGTCGAGATGATTACAAGCTCATATTCACTGGGCGGCCAAGCGGCGAGGTGAATATGAGCTTGCAATTAATCACCGAGCCTGGGCCGACTAAATGTTTCAGTATAATTTGTCAAGTGAATATTATGACTTTATTTATTTCAACTTTATACCGTTGTTTACATTATGGCGTAAACATGAACTTTACAAGCTACAAAGCAAAATACAAACACGTTACAACTTAAAAAACTTTACCTTACAGTCGATTTTACGAAACGTTGACCACAAATGTTCCGAACTTCGTTGCGAAGTTCGCAAGTTCATTTTGGAATTCACAAGCCAATTTGTAAACAAAGTCCCTGATTGGTCCCTGAAGTAAAATAAGCCAATCAAATGCGACCTTTACAAATTGGTTTGTGAATCTCATTATGAACTTTTGAACTTCGCAACGAACTTGCGAACTTCACAACGAAGTTTGGAACATTTGTGGTCAAAGTTTCGTGAAATCGCCTGTAAAGGTTCTTAGTGAGATACTTTTCATATAAATTTTGTCTTTTTTGTTCTTTGTTGCATGCTATCGTACCCAAATTTCCCGGTATCGCTGTTCATGATAGCTATACGGTAACCACCATTTTGAAAAAAAGTGTTGTAGTTACTGGCTAGCCAGTACTATCACTTGAGATTCGGGCTGCGTCGACTAATCAGACTGCAAGTAATGTTATAGTTACCTGAAGCCTCACGTCAACAGTTGCCTATGATGGCCAATGTAAAGTTTGGACATTAGGACGTCGGTTTCAGGCTCCTTTCACGTCAGTTTAGACGTCAGCTTCAGCCCCCCTACGCACGCGTTAATTAAGACGTGTAGTGGCGTCAGCATTAGCCAAACGTCACCACTTCGGCTTATATTTGGCTTCACTTTTCCGTCGCACCCTACATTGTCCCCATTTCCCCGCAGGCCGGCAGGCGGAGTGAACGCCTGAGTAGGCGTCTTGTTTATCAATATAATTGCACTTAGAAGCTGTTCACATGAGTTTGACTCTGACCCAGCACCCATGGCTAGCTCCCCTTGCCTGGTCACAAGTAGAAAAACTCCAACCCCCTTTGACAAATCAGTCCAGATGTGCCCAAGAGGCAGGATTTTCTGGAATATTATTAGTGAAATTGTTGCATATTTTCAAGCATGCATTGTAACCTGACTTTAAAGCCTGTTTGAACATCAGACAGGCAATGGCAAGATGGTCCAGCCATATGAATACAATCTTAAAATATCTTAAAAACAATGCAATTTAAGACCAGACAGCCCAACTC